ATTGTTTTCCACCAATCTCTTTCAGGGACAGCGAAATTTTCCGCAAGGTGAATTTTTGGGCAATTTTCATCCATTATGATTGGATCAGTTCAATTGCGAAAGTGATCCAACTGAAAACGGCGATAACGATAATAATCGCACTTATTATTGTTACTGTCAATTGCCTGAAATTACTGAGATATCAAATTGGAATTCGAGTGCCTAAAGGGTTAGTGAAGGCAAAAGACTACCTCAATGAATTGGACAGCCACATCGAATATGGGTTCAATGAAGCCACGTTCACGAGCCTCACGTTTGCGTTGCTCAATCAGCGTGAAGAGGTGTTCCATCGCTCTTGGCACTATACCCACAGAATCGTCATCCGATGCAGTTGTCATATCGAATGCCGTACCCATTGTGTACGTTTTACCGCTACCGGTCTGTAAGCATTTCATTTTCCATTTCATTTCCACCTCACAATCAGCATTTAATCTGTTCCCACTAACTCAATGGAACCATATCAGTGTGCGATGCCAATGAAACGAAATGCAACGAATTCCGATACAAGTATAATGTGAAGAGGTATTGATGAATTGAACTGAAATGTGGATCGTTCAATACGAACCTGACCGTACGCAAGTACGGTGGCATTGAAGCCCTCGAGCGTGCCTTCGATAAGACTTCGAACGCAGCGATCATAGACCAATTGCTGGTGTGTGTCTTGATCGAACACGCAATCATACGTAAAACTTCGATCGTCTCCAATTGTTATCTGCAGTGATTTTCGTTGTAGCATTCATAGGTAGATAGCGCAACTAATTGGAAATGCCTAATACTTAAAAAAAAAAACGGAAAGTATCGCTCACTTGAGGTTCACCAGGTGTTACGGCTGTGCAAACACGGCACAGTTCGAGTTTTTCGCGAACGATCTGAGGTCGAATCCTGAAAAGAGAAACGTGAATATTTATCGTGAGAAACAACTTTTCGCAAAGGCAGTCTGAACCAATCCAAGTGAAACAGCGACAAAGGAAACAACTCATTTCGAGAATTATTGGAAAATGGAACTGGGAAAAAATGAGCAACAAGCGATTCATTCTAATTGAAGACATCCTGAAACTGTAATCCCTCACTAAATGAATCCTTTTGGTCGGCATCACTGTACTAAATGTGATTTTAGAGTTAGAAACCTATTGAGCAGCAACATTGAAAAATGCCAGATATTAGTGGCATTGGTGATAACGGAGAGGCATAAACTCGTAATGAGTTGTAACTGTTTATCAGATAAATAAACTCCTGATCTGCCAGTGGGTCTAGTTGAAATCTACTTTGAAACCGAATTTCGAGTTGAAATTGCACAAAATTTCCTAAACTACAATGGGATTACTATTCTCATTCTGCTCATAAATCATGAGTCAGAAGAAATTGAAGCCAAACGCCAGCATCATTCATGCAAAAAAAAAACGAATGAGAAGCAGAACGTTGATGCATTTAACACGCAAGACATTTGAAAAATTACCTCAGTGCAACTCGAACTGACGTTCCAGCATTATCGCACGTTAAGCCATCAGCAGAAGACATTTTGTGACGTTAATCGTATTACAATGAGTCGATATTCTCAATTCTCAAACTTTTAACATACTGAAATTTGAAATGAATCGCCNAAACCGTTATCAACACTGATTTTTATTGATAACGCTAAGCGAAATTTTTTCGAATCGTCTTCAACGTAGGTGTACCAAGCACCATTGTCACTATATAAACAACATGATAAGTCAGTTTGAACACAATGAAAATGACGTTTAATACAGATTAGATTCGGTCATAAATCAATTATTCTGAGTGTTGGTTACTGATGAGGGATGAATCATTGGACGAATAAAGCTTCGAAATAGTACTCAAATGGAACTGAACTCAATAAAGCGGAATAGGCAACTGCGAGAACGAACAAATGAAAGAAGTATGTTGAAGAGGAAGAATACGTTGGATACTAACTGCTTAACGAAAAGATGGTCGGTTAATTTCAATAGTTGAAGAACTGAAAAAGATATGGACAACTCACACTCAGTTCAAATTATTCTCTTTTTTTTGCATAAAATAACGATAAGACTCGAAAAAAAACAACAGCTTAGCGGCTGAAAGCACTCAACTTTCAGTCAAACTCATTCATTGATTGCATTCGATGATCATCGATAATCAAGACACACTTCAGCTAACGTTAACTTGGAAAAACATATGGTTCGAGAGGGAGAAAAACGCGAGAAAACAAGCGATTTGAAGCACTNAGAATAAAACTTTGCAAAAAGAACCAACCGCAAATATCCGCCGCCGTAAACTCATTGCTAACAACAATCATCAAATATTGAATGGATTAATTTTATTCCGTTTCTCTTCTCCTATTTGCATGATGAATTTTTCATTATTAGAACAGTAGAATGCGATTCAGAAAATAAAAAAAGAAAAACACCTGACCTAGCGATGATGAAAACAAATGATGCGATTGTGTAATGATGGGCGGATAAGTTTTTGGAAACGTGCTGAGAAAATTTCAACGGAAAGAAGAAGGAGAATTCGAAGAGAAATGTATTGTTCATGCAAAGCACTTTCAAAATCGCAACCCAACCAAACTCTCAAGCCTTTGCATGATTTTCTTCTTTGAATAAATTGCTATGAATAAACGCAGCGGCGATTCAGTGAGTGAACTTCGAAATGAACATGTTAATTGCAACATGATTGATGACGATTGCTCCATATAAAATGGATAGAGGATTGTTTCATGTGTACACATAGATAGGATATAAAATGGATAAAGAAAAAAGCATGTGTATATTTGGCAGTACTGAATGGATATAGACGGCATTGTTGCAGAATGTGATGCGCAGATATGCGATTTACATAGACTACTGTGCACTTTGTTGATAGAGAAATGATTGGTTTGTGTATGATGATTAGTGGTGCTTTGAAGTGAGATATTGAATTGTTGCGGGCATTGAGCATCAATAAATACTGACTGAACTGATTGATCTGATCGATAGATGTGGATGTGTGTATGAACGGATGAACGGAACGGATCGATGCCGGTGGTAGTNGTAGTTAGTGTGCTGTGCGTTCAGGACGTATTTAAACATTAAACAAATTATTAATCGTATGCTATGTGGTAAAGATTGTTGAAACGGGCGTTCTTTTGGTGGTGCTGGTGGTGGTGGTTGCTGCTTAATGCATGATGACAATCGATCGATAAGTGAAGAACGAACGCATTTTCACGCATGCATTTCCACGAATTCTATTCGTATTATAGGTATAGTGTAAGTCTGCATTATCGATATTGTATATTATGTACATACGTATGTACATTAAGTGTGTTGTATGTGTATATATATATTTTTAAGTAGAAACAACAAATCGAATAATAAAGCAAACATAAGATCGCACAATAATCAGCATTGAATATTGAATGGCGATACCCTTCAGCAGTCACAAAACATCAATAATGTTCAAGTAGTATCACAGTTGAGCGGCCAGCTGAATGCATAAGAAAGTTCAGGACGTAAGCACAAGCATCATCAACAGTAGCAGCAGCAGTAACAGCAGCAACACGCAATCAATGAACGAGGTTCAGAGTTTTAGCCGTCCGTCTGTGCACGATGATCGTCAAAAGTCACTCTTAAAGACTCCTCTCTTCATAGCACTGCTATCCCAATAGCTAATATTTGTGTTAGCTTCACAGTTGAGATTATAAGGACAAAATCGTAGAGGTGAACTTTTTCACTGTTGCGCACATTCAAATTCATTTAATGTTGGTTATTCCAGTGGTTGTTTTTGGAAAAAGATTTTTGCTATTGATTCAACTGAATATAACTGAGTTGTTCTGATAAGTTCATTGAAATCGAGCAGCATTAACTTTTTATCGACAACTACAAATTGTCTTCATTGATGCGCGATGTGGGCAGTATACGGTTATGATGAATTGTGCAAGTGAGAAGGAAAAATGACGAGTGGAGTGANAAGGACCAACTTATCTCTAAAGTTGTTGAAAAAACAAATTGAATCACACTATATACGTTCCGTAGTATACCAGATACTGGAGTTATGTCTCATTAAAATCTAATAAACATTTATACGAGAATACTTTGTCATGCAGCAATATTGCATTCGTTTATAGCGAATGGAGGAACATTTTGCACATTGCTTCCATTACATTCTGCACGAATATCAAGTTTCGTTCATTTCACAATGCGATATCGCATCTCAATGCTTCATTTTTATACGACATCTAGCTAGTGCTGCTAGCAACATCAGTGTGATAGCTGCTATTCCAGGCGACGGATTGGAACCGAGAGGAAAATGAAGAAGTTTGCCAGCAGAAGCAAAGTTACTGGTGAGTGATTTTGTTTGGGATTTCGAGAAGACCTCTTGCCCAGCTCACGGTAACAGGACGGGGGTTGGGGGGAGGGGTGGCTCCCTATTCTCCCGAGTTTTTTCAGGCCCGATATTCTGACGAAGTAAATAAAATGCACACACTAGCATCACCACGAAAATTCAAAGAAGACGGGGCTGCGGGCGTTTTCTTTGCCTAATATATTGGCCCATCAAAAAATTAAAATAAGCCCCGTAAAAAGTGAAGTATTTCTCCATTCAACGTTGAAGTTCTAACGACGGGCACGCCTCTTGCTTGTAATCACTTCTGCAAACACATCGATGATGCCCAGTGCAAGATTATGCATCATGGATAGAATATAAAGAGCGAAATAACTGAGAGCGGATTGATTCAAGCGAATAGTCGTCAGTGCTATCGTGTAATGAACGAATAAATGGGACGGTGTTGAAAATGAGGCTGAACGACAGAGGGAATCGATTATAACACTAATGGTACTAAAACCGGAATTCTTACATTGATCGACAATTTTATGCGATATTTTAATGGTTGTCTATTGAATAGCGTTTGTGTATGAATTATTGATGCTATGCGTCTTTTCGATTGACACTCATTCTTGCGTAAATCTCAACTGTCAAGGGAATTAAAGTAATGACTTTGTCTGCTAAACATAGTCGTCATAAGGGGAAAGCTCACCTAAACTCTCATGTCATCTCGTTTCTAAATAATCTTATTTTGTGTTTGCAAATGTATGAATGTCGAACCGATTGGGAGCATTTAATTGCAAACTGCGGTTAAATAATTGTCAGCTCGCACGTATGATGCGGATTTTTTTTTTGAATTTGGGATTTGTTCTGTTTAAGTGAATTCTGGAATCATAAAAATGGTTTCTGCCGACTTCCTATCGAAACAATTTTCTGCCGACTTCCCATCGAAACAATTTTCTGCGTCTTCCCACAACAATTACTCAGCGACTGCATCAGGGCAACAACAATCGAAATCTAGATAGGAGTTGAGTGTGTGATGCACATTAAAAGTACATCATTTTCAGCGGCAAGCAACGAAGCATTCAACAAAGCAAAATTAGTGCAATCCATTTTATGTGTCACTGAACTCAGTGAGTCATTCTTTTGAACATTCATTCACTCGTTTCATTCGCAGACTGAAATCTTCTCTGTTGATTCATTCACATTCAGTTAATGACCGAAAGCATGAATTCAGTGAAGAATATGAAAATGAAACACTGAAATCTTGATTTATCTGAAAGATCGCTCCTCTAAGAACGAATGAATCGTTGGAGGAGAAAGAATTGGCAGCAGAATTCGTCGCAACTGAGGAACTGATGACGGTAAAATTGTCCAAGTTCATTGTTATTGTTGTGAAATGTTGAGTGACAATGTTGACTTCAGCACCACATCCAACTGAAAAATATCTCCTTACTTGTTAGATGAACGAATAAATATTACCTGGATTACGAATAAACAGTTCTTTTAAAAAAATCATATCATCGATCAAATATCGTCCGATCGATGACGTGGATGGATCGATTAGTTGGTTTGATTTATTGCGCGAGTAACGAAATGAATCGTTCGTTTCACATTAACAGCCGGATTTCGTCATCTTTAGTTTACATGAATAAAATATCCATCTTCTAGCACAGAAAAAAGA